CTGTTTATGCGGACGAAACCCTTTCTTGATTGGAATGCGATGTTCTACAATATCTCTTGACAAACCAGGCATTTCATGATAGTCCCATGCAAAGCAATCTTTGTACCCTTTGATCAGGTTAACCAATTTTTCTTTCATGCCCCCTTGCAAAAACATACTTACATACACTGGACGGAAACAACCAGGTTCTTCTCTATCAACCTCTAATAATGGATCTTGAGCCTCCATTGTTCTGTTTTCTTTGACTAACAACTCTTCCCATTCATCAATACAATCTGAGGCTTCGACATTTTGCTGTGCCATTTCTGCCAAATGTGTGAAGTACCTTTCACAAACTTCTTGCAATACGAAATCGTTTTCCATAAAGAATGTCTAATTCTTCTAATGCCAAGCTTGACTTGGGGATCTATTCAGCTTTCATATCCCCGAAGCGGCAATAAGCAAAGGACTGTAGATCTGTCGTTGGTGATTCGACAGCATAACCCTTATGTGAACAATCTCGAATATCAATCCATCCGATTGAAGCATATCCCAAATCTGCCTCAACATATTCCACTTTCTCGCCATTCCAAAATGCCAATATTTGATGCAAAGTTGAAGGTACACACTGATTAGAGTGTATATAATCTCTTCCGAGCAACAGATTATATGAACCATCAGATTTTACTACAAAGAAAGTCGTTTTGGACGACTTGGACCCTATAGTTAAATCAAGTACTATTGCCCCCTTGACTTCGGTAACTTCCCCAAGAAAATTAGATAACTGAACATTGGATGAGATAATGTCGTCGTCATCTTTCCCTAATTTCTTGAAGTATTTATAAGATATAAGGTTTAAAGTAGCTCCAGCATCTACAAAGATTTTACCGACAGACCTACCATTGACCCTGCCTGAAACAATCAAGGATCTTAATGCTTTGCTTTTTCAGAAGGTACCTTATCAAACTTGATGGCTTCTTTGTCGGGGAACTGAAATTCTGCCATGGCTATCTCCTTTTCTGAAATGTGTTCGATATCTTCTTCCACTATCAAATTAGTTTCATACTTCGCTGGAAGTTTAGCATACACCATGTTTATCCGTAATGGAGAACCATATTTCTTTGATATCTTGGAGTAGCCAGTTCGGTAACTTCCGCCATCTTCTTGTGACAATTTAGGATCCAAGTTCTTTCGCTCCACTTTTCTTTGTTGTTTTGGGTTGAGAGCTACTGTGATCTGCCCAAAATTAATTGTCTGTGGAACCTGAGAGACTCCCTTTTTTACTTCAATGTGAGAGCTACTTCCCGAATCACCTGGTTCTGGTTTAATCCGATCTTTTTCATCAGGGTTTCTTTTTCAGACCCAATTACCTTTTCTACTGACAGATGTGAAAGGTAAATTTTGCCTTACTGTACCTTTAGCTCGACCACTCTGAAAATTCCTTTATCTGTTTCTCATTAGTTGGAAACGCCTTTTGATGGTTATGTAAGATGTCTGTCCCGGCGCTCTAACTGTTGACTATTTTCCTTCGGGAGGGTCATACGGCACCTTAACTGTTTTTCTTTTGTGGACTTCCTGAGAAATTGATGGTGGTGGATCATCAAATTCATCTCCCCAGCCAGTCGGCTCGATTGGTAATGATGGAGGTGGATAATCATCCGTATCTCCATAATTGACCACATAGTCAAATTTCCCACTAGGCTCTCCAAGTAATCTGACTTTGGGATCACCTTCCTTGTATAGCTGCCATAAACTTTTTTTCTTTGCAGGCTTTGGTAATGTTTCGTTTTCCTCATGAACTTGCGTAACCAATTCCCGACTTGGAGGGGCTAGTTGAGATGAATCAGGGTGGTATTCCTTCCTTTCACCGATATCTTTTCTTTCAAATGCTTGTGCTGTCTATCTTGGGTGAATTTCCTCCTCTCTTACTTGTACCGAAGAGTTTTCGGTTGCTACAATCTCAGATTTCACCAGTGGTCTACCTATCCTGCGGACAAACGATCCCGATCTGTATCTCCCTCTCGTTCCTCTCATGTATTGGAACCTAGGAAACTCCCGATCTTGCCGAGTCAGCTCTTGGTGACAACGAGTGCAAAGTTGTTTGTTGTCACTGTCTGTCGTCTCTCGTATATTAACCATGCTGATCATGTTCGGGAAATGGTCTGTGTCTACTTCCATTAGGGCTTTGCCTTTGTCTTCGGCAAATTTAATCTTGCCTTGGCGAATTGCCTCTTGGATAGTCTTCCTAAACACAATGCAATTCACCGTATCATGAGTTGTAGAGTGATGCCATTTGCAATATCTCTTGTTTGTTATTTCCTCCTTTGACGGGATTACTTGTCTTTCAGATAATTTGATCATTCCATCTTTCAACAGCAGGTCAAATATTTCATCTAACTTGTAGATATCAAAGGAGTAGTTATTTGTCTCCTTAGCCTTGAACTTGGACACATCTCTCACTCTAGCCAGTTTAAGTGCTGGACACACATACGGTTTTTCAAGCACCATGGTTGCTACGGCTATCTCATTCTCCTCTTCGGCTGTAGCACCATGTTCGGTACTTTCAGAAAGTGCCACTGTCTGCCGATTGTCCTTACTCGGCTTCTTATCTTTCTCCTTCAACAAGTGTTCGTACTTAGAAACATGAGCATTTAACTGAAAGACATCATCAAAGGCTTGTCTTTCAAATCTTTCCTTAAGGTTAAACCTCAAACCATTAAAAGCCAAATCTGTGAACTCCTTCTCAGTGAGTGATGTTAAACATCGATTTCTGGATTTCTTGAAACGTGCAATAAACTGATCTACTGTCTCGGTACTATATTGATACATCCTGGCCAAATCGGCTACCGTTACCTCTGGTACCGTTCGGTAAAATTGAGAATGAAACTGCCTTTCCATCTCGACCCATGTTTGAATAGAATTCGTGGGCAAATTTGTATACCAAGTGAATGCTGTTTTGGACAAAGACAATGGGAACAACCTTAGCCTTAAATACTCATTAGTTCCGGCTTCTCCACATTGTGCCAAGAATCGACCCACATGCTCCACAGTTGACTGATCCTCCTCTCCGGTAAATACAACAAAATCTGGCATCTTGAAACCCTTTGGATATGGTATCTTATCAACCCAATCGGGATGTGGCTTCCTATATACTGGCCTTGGCAATCCTCTCTCTGCTCCCAATTGTTGCATTACCAATTCTGCGACTCTATCTGGGTTCCATGGCCTTAAATTTTGCTGGCCTAACCAAGGATCTTGACCTCTAGGATCGAACTGTTGAGGTCGATTCACCCCTTGCTGCTCCATGTTGAAATTAACGGGTAGTGGTGGCCTTATTTATAGCATTGATCACGATGGGCTTCATCACATCAGTCACATGTCGCACTATATGATTGGTAAGGTCGTTCTGCTGTTCCTCAAACATTCTTTTCATCGTGGCTACCAAGGTATTATCTGGTGCCAACGCGCGGGCTTGTTCTTCAGTTAATTGCCGAGGAATGTCGGCATTCTCCTCAACTTGATTAGCCGCATAATGCTCAGAATGTGCTCCATCAACTGGATTGTTGATGTTACCCACCGGTATTCCTTCAGATTGCCTGGTTCTCACCATTTCTCCAAATCTTACCACGCAAGTCCCACCGGGCGTGCCAAAAAGATGTTCACTCGTTTTACGACGAGGAATATCCTTCACCGAAACTTCGATTTTCGGTTTTTATTAAGGTAGGTTCTGTGGCTTGACTTCTAGGAGAATTGTGGCAAAAAAATAGAGTGTAACACAGGATTATATGGAATTGATAGAAATTGAATGGACTGGAAATGGATCTGAGATCAACAAAGTTCCAAGCTACGTTACAATACTCCTATGAAAGCTGTAAAGGACTTGAAAGTTAACTAAAGCTACAAGAAGCTGTAAATACAGAAAGTAAAGGTGCATAGGAAACTAAAGTGCAGATAAGCTTGAGTATTTTTGCATTGTTATTGGTCGTATCTTCCTCTTTGCTTCCTCTGAGTATTTGTATCTCCTCTTATCCTGTAACTGCTTGTCGGTTACTTCCATGTTTTCGAACTTTGAATTTTGGCGCTTCCAATAACTACCTTTTCTAACCACGTTTTTCCAGTTTTATTGTCCGCCAAAACTTGATCTCAACCGCTGAAATGACTTCAAATCTGGACAAGTAACTTCCCACGATATGCTCGTGCTCACCATTCCCGCTTTTGCTCACAACTTCTTGCTATCGTGATTTACGTGACTGGGCTGTGATTCTTCAGTATATTCCCGAAGTGTAAACCTCTCGAGTTTCGGGAAAAGGTCGCCGTCCTGAGGCATAAATATTCCAACTTCCCAAACTATAACTTTCCATGTTTCGGTAAATATACATATTTTCATCAATTACCGAATTTGGGACATGATGCCATTCACGCTTGCTTCTCAACATGTTTCCGAATTTGGTCCAGACGTGTTTCGGAAGATGGCTGATTTCCATTATACACCAAATTCGGCACTAAAGCCGACTCAGCATTTATGCCGAATCTTATTTTGGTGTCAACAATTAGTCTTGGCTTTCTTTACTGGGGTCTGGTTCATTGTGCTTTTTGAGTTACATTTTGTCACTAAACGCTATGGGTGACCAGGCTAATGCAAGTTCTGGTCATCTGTTGGTTTAATGCGAGGACAACCGTTCCAAAGAGATCGATTCCGTGTAAGGGACCTCTGATTGTAACCTTGTTTCTGGATTTCATGACCACACCGGAGAATGATATCATCCATATGGGAAGGTTTAGAATAGTGGATTCCGTTATTCAATCATATTGTCGGTGCCGACCACTTTCTTTACATTGCTCGGGACGTATTTCTGATGCTCCGATTCCATGAATGTCGCTAGTGATCTGCACAGATGTCTGACAAGTCTCTTTGCATTTATGGGTTGCTGATGAATGTTTGGTCTAGCCAATCATGGACAATTTAGCTGAATTTTGGGATATGAATGGTTTATTAACCTCATTCTTTTGTTTGGTGGAAGGTTCTTATTGAGGAGTGCATTTGGCAGTGGAGATTGTCCCTGTTTGCCAGAGAGGATTTTGGCTATTCAGCAAATGACAGGAAACAGAAAGGGACTAGATATTGATGATTTTGAGAAGCTTCTCTGTGAAATACCCAATGGTACTTCTGGATTTCGACAGCCTGAGGATACTGGACTTGAAAGGGTGTCTTTGGGCGATTCGATGTCTCCTATCTTGGTTGAGTCTAGTAAAGGGCCTCACAGTGAGAATTTTCCAAACAATGGCGGTTTGCCCGGGAGAAAAGCATCAGCTGATTAAGTTGACAAGAACCCTCAAGTGAATGAAATAAGACTGCCTGATGAACAATCTGTTGCTTTTGCATTTGCAGATTTGAATTTAGAGAATGGTTTGGCTGGGGAAGCTGTGTGTATTCCTTCAGCTAATGGTATGCCTATGCACAGTAATGCCTTTTTATTGGAAAGCCAATATTGCAACAACTTAAAGATTCATAATCTAGCTGCACATTCACAATGGAACACTGTCTATCCTTTTCAGACAAGAATTAGTGCTCCCTCTGGTTTTGATGACTTCTCTGGGACCCAAATTGGCCAAGGGTGTCTGGATTTGAGTAAATTTGATGCTCAAGGTCTAAAAAAGTGGCAAGTTAGTGGTTTTCAGTCGGTTGGTAACTCCAATGCTTCATCAACGGCAGCAACTAATGGGGTCCATTTGCAGCAACTAAATCCGTTCCGGACCAACGTCTGTGGCACAAGTTAAAATTTGGAATGGCAAATTAGTGACGAATTTCACCACGGATCAGTTGGTCGCAAATTAATGACCAAAAAAAAAATTCATCAAAAATTTACGACGAATTTTGCCACGAATACATTTCGTCACAATTTTTAGACAAAAAAAAAACATTTCGTCACAATTTAGAAACCAAAAAAAAATTTCGTGGCACATTAGCGACGAATTTTGCGACGATTACAGTTCGTGGCTAATTTGCGACGAATTTTGCCACGAATAATTAGCGACGAATACAATTCGTGGCTAATTTGCGACGAATTTTGCGATGGACAATTAGCGACGAATACAGTTCGTGGCTAATTTGCGACGAATTTTTTTTCGTCGCAAATTAGCGACGAAAATTGATATTTTCCGTCGCTAAATTTTGCGACGCCGAATTAGCGACGGATTTTTTTCCGTCGCAAAATTCGTCGCTAAAACCTTGTTTTTTTGTAGTGATATCTTTCATCAAGTTGATTATGTGGTAACATATGCTGTTCACTTGGATGATTACAGAAATGAGGCCACTCCTATGCATGCGAGCCTTCCTTCCGTAAAAAAAAAGGAAAAATTAGAACATCTTGCGTTAGTGTGAAGAAAACTCTTAAGTAAGCGGTCAAATGCATCCACTATGCCCATTTTGCCGTCAAGCCCCAGAAACAGTAGAACACCTCTTCCTGCTATGCCGATGGACAAAGGAAATTTGGTCAGACCCGCGCATCAATATTTCCATCTCCAGACTTACAATGACAAGAATTGAACTATGGATACAGGAAGTTACGGAGTGTAACGACAACACACCTTCCTGGGAGATAATGGCTAGTGTTTTGTGGGAGATCTGGAAATCAGGGAACGCATTCATGTTCCAAAACCTGAAGCCGGACCTAAGCACAATAGTGGAGGCAGCGTTCGCTACAAACAAAAGCTACACGCGTTGGAACCTCACGAAGGACTCGAAGCTGATAGAGAGAGATAGCAAACCTGCGAGGTGGAAACCGCCTAAAAATGGCGCCTTTAAGCTGAATGTTGACGGATCTTTCGTCGAGGGTGAACCGGACGGAGCGATTGCTGGCATACTTCGAGATTCGAGAGGGATTGTTGTCGCCGGGTTTGCGAAATTGATCCCCTTTGCAACGGCTGAAGAAGCGGAAGCCCTAATTGATATGAAGGTAAAGATCGAAAGTGATAGCTTATCAGTATGTGGGCTCATAGTAGGCACTTATCCAAGCCCATGGCGCATCCGGGCTGTTATAGAGGATTGTAAAAGGAGTTTGGCCCAGTTTAAAAGTGCTTCGTTGGCTTAGGCTGCTCATGACAACTTGCCAAATAGTATTTGATTCTGTTCTTTTGTTCCCAGAATCAGTTTGGGAACAGAAATGCGTTTGTTTAAATTTTTGATTCTGGGCACAATTTTGTCAAAAATTGTTCCCAGAATCAGTTTTAGAGCAGAATCAAGAATAAAAAAAAGTAGCTTCTTGATTCTAGGAACAATTTTGAGAATCAATTTTTTTTTCTTCTTCCTTTTCTTGGTTTTTAATTTAGCTTCTAATGTCCGGCCCGAGGACCGCCCTCGCCGGATCTGACGAGAATAAAATATTTTAATAAAAAATATTTTACCGGCCATGGCCAGCGACCAGGCCATGACCATAAAAAAGAAAAAATATATATTTTTAATAAAAATATTTTAATAAAAAATATTATTACTAAAAAAAATATTTTACCTGCCATGGCCGGTGACCAGGACATGGCAGAAAAAGAAAAAATATATATTTTTAATAAAAATATTTTAATAAAAAATATTATTAATAAAAAAAATATTTTACAGGCCATGGCCGGTAATCAGGCCATGGCAAAAAAAAAGAAAAAAATATATTTTTAATAAAAATATTTTAATAAAAAATATATTTTACCATCCATGGCCGGCGACCAGGCCATGGGCAAAAAAATAAAAATATATATTTTTAATAAAAATATTATTAATAAAAAAAATATTTTACCGGCCGTGGCCGGCAACCAGGCCATGGCCCAAAAAAATAAAAATGTATATTTTTAATAAAAAATATTATTAATAAAAAAATTATTTTACCGGCCATGGCCCAAAAAAATAAAAATGTATATTTTAAATAAAAATATTTTAATAAAAAATATTATTAATAAAAAAAATATTTTACCGGCCATGGCCGGCAACCAGGCCATGGCAAAAAAAAATAATAATATATATTTTTAATAAAAATATTTTAATAAAAAATATTTTACCGGTCATGGCCGACGACCAGGCCATGGCAAAAAAAAAGAAAAAATACTTTTAATAAAAATATTATTAATAAAAAAATATTTTACCTGTCATGGCCGGCGAGCAGGCTATGGCCAAGAAGGAGGAAAAGAAAAAAAGAAAAAAAAAAAGAAAGAAATATTAAAATATTTAAAAATATTATTAATAAAAAGAAATTTTGTGGCGTTACCAAACGCATTTGCATTCTTTTTCTATTCCAGGGATGGAATTTTGGACCGTTAACAAACGCCTTAAAATGCTCAGAATCAATTCCGGGCACAGAATCAAAAAGAATCATTTCTGAGCAGAATCTGTTCCCGGGCACAGAATCGTTGTCATGCGCAGCCTTATTGTCCGCGAGAAGCAAATCATGTGGTGGATTGGATCGCTAAAGCTCTATGTAGAAATGTCCTCCCCTCTAATTAGATTACTAAACCCTCCCAACCCCCTTGGGATATTTTATGTTTCGATATTAAACATCTTTATTTTGATCATGGCACTTAATGACTTTTTCGACCAAAAAAAAAAAAAGTAGTCAAATGCATCCTTAATTTGCTTCTCCATCATATTCTTTTTCTCGTGCATTATCGATGGCAATGTGCAACTGTGGACTGATGCAGGCACGATTTAAAGCGCTCATTCAGGTGCATAAGCACGACTCCAGTTAGTAAAGAGGAGAAAGGACGAGATGGGTTCGATAGAAAGACCGAACTCCGTGGCATTCTCTCTTTGCGTTTCCTTCTTGCGATGCTTTGCCCAACTGCTCAGCCATTTCTGGACTCTCGTGATTTATTTCTCCTCTGACCTCCACCATACGAGAGAGAGAGAGAGAAATAGAAGACAAAAACATAGTCCCAATGCGAATTCTCCAGTTCATGCGTCACATGCGCGGAGCCATCGAGATCTGCTGTCATCCTGCGACCCGTGCGATCGGTGCATGCAACGAAAACAACACCATCTTTTGACCACAATCCCTCTTACGTATCATACTCTCACGGCGCATCGTATTGCACAAGGTTGTCAAAATTTGAACTCACGAGAACCAATCAAGATAGGCCAGCTGGATTCCCGGCGATGCTCCGGACCAATCGGCCCTCGACGCGCGAACGAAAACAGGGCCTACGCATGCACGAAAGGAGGGAGGAAATATCTTGGTCATAGCCTGACACATGGTACGTAGGTACATGCTCTTTCGAAACGGCGACCGCCGTGTGTTCCGACACGTGTCCCCGGGAAGCCCCGACGGGTCAACATTCCTTGTCAGAGGCAAAAACACTCGAAAGCCGTGAAATGTCTCCCCCTCCCGGGCCTCCCTAACCCCTTCGCTTTGCTTCACGAATAATATAATAAAAAAGGTGGAAACCCACATAACGCAAGCATCGCAGATCCTCCACGTTTTACCCCTCCGTGGGCCCCGGCCGTACGAGTACCCAGGATTACTAGCCTCGAGATCCGGCCTCCGCGTGTCCGGCCAGCCCGATCCGAGCCGTCCACGTCTCCGTTTTGCCGATATCCAAGTAAAGAGGCGCGTAGCCTGCCCATGTGGCGACCACCGGCGGACGGACCCCCTTCGAGCTGGACGGCCACGATTCGATTGCCTTTTTCGTGCTGTCGCATCAAATAAATGCCCCACACATCGGTGTCGTCGCTGCTCCGATCGCGCGCTGTGCACACTGCATCATCACCACCCTTTTCTTTTCCTCTTTGCTTTTTTCTGCATGCAATGAACAAGGACCGAAAGCTGTACCCGCCGGCGAAGAGAGCGATTCCCGGAGGATGACGACGGCCGCCGACGGAATGATGTTTCCGGGGGCGGCGGCCCCGGAGAAGGCCGGGAACGGCTCCCGGAGGAGGTTCAAGATCCGGAGAGCTCACCGAAGCGGCCGTCGGCGCGCGCGGAAGAGAGAACCGGTCGCGAAGCGTCCGGATGGGGAGGAGAAGCCGATCGAGATATCCCTTTCGTTCTCTTCCTCGTCGTCCGAGAACGACGGGGTTGTGGTGGGCGAAGAGGAAGACGGAGCCCGCGAGAAGAGAAGCGAGCGCTCGATCAATCACGGGTCGCTCTCGGTGATAGGGAGGAGGAGAGAGATGGAGGACGCGGTGAGGGTGGAGCTAGGGTTCGCGAAGAGGCTGAAGGCGGGCGAGGTGTACGATTTCTTCGGGGTCTACGACGGGCACGGCGGGGCGCGGGTGGCGGAGGCGTGCAGGGAGAGGCTGCACCGGCTGGTGGCGGAGGAGTTGGAGGGCCTTGACCAGGAGGCCGGGTGGGAAATGGACTGGAAGGGGACGATGGTGGGGTGTTTCGAGAAGATGGACGGAGAGGTGACGGGCGGCGGCGCGGCGGAGGAGATGAACACGGTGGGGTCGACGGCGGTGGTGGCGGTGGTGGGGAGGGAGGTGGTGGTGGCGGCGAATTGCGGGGACTCGAGGGCGGTGTTGTGTAGAGGAGGTGTTGCTATGGCCTTGACGGATGACCATAAGGTATATATATGTATAAATACACACAACATATATGGTAGGTTCTAGGTTTCATATTTGACCGTTACAGTAGTTGCTTTAGCTAGAAGCGCGATTTCTTTTGTCAAACATTTTTGTGATGTCTTTCTTGATCTTTGTATTGTTCACGAGGGTTTAGGCAATCTTGATCTTTGGCGAAACTGAGATTTTCCAAGAGGATTTTCCCTTGGGAATCATACATCGTGGAGATCATGGACTAGATTGGAGCAACTTCAATTTGTCATTTTGAGCTTAGTCCTTTAATTTGTGGAATAAGAAGCATTCCAATTCTGGAAATCCACGATACTTGTTGGATCAAAAGATGTACCAAATTGAAATTTGCGATTGCCACCGGATCCAAAAGAGGGTAGCATACACCGTGGCATGAAGTGCTTTCTCGTGATTTTACCGCAACAATAGAAATACGCTCCGCTTGCGTAAAATGAAAGGTGAACTATATAGTAAAGGCCCCATGGGATTATAAAGTGGGGCATCCGATGGACCTTTCGGCGATTTTAAGGATGCTGCATTTCTCATTTTCCCCCCTCAATTCATTTGGCTAATGCTATTCTTTTAATAGATTTAGATCTCGTTTGGTACCCATATAACTTAGTCATGATAGGCACTTCACAACGGTTCCGGTTAACCCCGATGTAGACGTCAAAATTAATCTAATTCTTATCAAACTCTCAGATGTATTTGTCTTGCTGTTTATTCATCTGTTCGGTCCCATCTGATAACCCCTTTTGCTAGAGTTTTCTGGTCGAAACTTTTTTATCTGTTTAAACAGTGTTAGTTCTTTAGGCCAAGAATGAAATTAGAAATCAGTATGCTAACAATGCTGGGTATCATTTCCATGTACAAACCGTTTTAGGTTTTGCATACGTTGATATTTTTAATGACTCTTGCTCATGCTTTGTGCAGCCTAATCGGCCCGATGAATTGAAGAGAGTTGAAGCTGCTGGGGGACGGGTCATAAACTGGAACGGGCACCGCATTCTCGGTGTCCTCTCTACCTCGAGATCTATAGGTCCGTAGGCGCATTGTGTTCGGGTTCTTCATGAACATTATATAACTTGCGATTGAAAGTCGTCCCCAAAGTGCCCAGCTTTGTTTTCTCGCAATAGAGTAGAGATGGTGTATTAGTATTTGCGAGTCTTTTGGCATCAACTGGTTGCATAATGGTCTCTCGTTCTGTCTTAATAGGTTTCTTAAGATATCATAAGAAGAATTAAACGCGTCAATAGGGGAGAGAGATGTTTGAAGATGCAAATTAGAAGTTGGTTAATATAATGTGAGATTATTGTCGATGGTAGTAAAAACTATGAAAGTTTAAGCTGTGAAATGAAGGCTGATTTGATATTTAAATATTTTAACGGCACGATACTCATGAGATCAATTCACATTTATCTTTATTATTTAAATTATGCTATTTGTCCATTTTATTACTATACTTGTACAGTTTGCTTTTATACAGAAGAGGATATCTAAATAAATTTATTTTTGAATTACTTTAAGTCGAGAAATGCATATCCCTTATAGCACTAGCGTGGGGGAGTTTCTATATTTATTGCAATTCAAAAGATTATAATTTCGGGACGACTCTTCCGTGCGTGTTTCTTACATGTAGGAGATCAATATATGAAACCATTTGTGATCCCGGAACCGGAGATCAACGTGAGCAGACGAACCGACGCGGACGAATTTCTGATCCTTGCCAGCGACGGCCTGTGGGACGTCGTCTCGAACGAGTTTGCCTGCCAGGTCGTGCGCCAATGCCTGGCGGGCCGGATGAGGAGGAGAACTCGGGAGGGCGACGCGATCAAGAACCGCGCCGCCGAAGCGGCGGCCATGTTGGCTGAGCTCGCAATGGCGCGGGGAAGCAAAGACAACATCAGCGTCATCGTGGTGGAGCTCGCCGGACCGAGCTAGCGGTTCCCTTTTTAATTATCGAACTGGATTTGTTGTGTTTCTTGATGCTACTCTGGACATACTTGTCGATCTTGCTTAAAGGTTGCCTTCTCTGGGTTCACGCTTGAATATCCTGTACGATTCACCGAGTCAATCCAGGAACTCTGGAGGGATCTGTGCAGTTGCAGTGTCCCTGATCCTGATTTTCTCTCTTTTCGGATCCGTGGCTCGTGGTCATGTGCTCCGATTCTCTGAGCTACGGGCAGCCTCATGGTTCGTCGAAAGGAGCGGAAAAGTTTTCGCGAAGAATAATCCCTAATGGTTTCATTGTAAAACGAAGGTGAACGATGGGTAGGTTCTTAACTTGAAATTTTGAAGAAATCATGTAGAACTAGGAATTTATCAGTAGTAATGGCGATGAAAAGGCAAATGAAAGCGGTCATCAAAAAAAAAAAAAAACGGCAAATGAAAGTTGATAAAAGATTATAAAGAGATGTAATATGCATACTTTTAAAAGAAGAAGATAATTTCATAAGAGTTTGGGTATGGTATCTACTATTTATTGGGGAATGGGGCAATACGTAATTTCTTTCACGGTTAATACCACGAAAAACCCTAAATTGGTACATATGTGATAAAATTTATTTCAAATTAATTATTTAACTACCAAAAATCTCAAAATAATACACTTGTGACGAATTTACCGCAAATTAATTCTTTGACCTTAAAAAACTACAAACTTTTACATCTATGACAAACAAAGGGAAAAACCTCAAACCGGTACATTCATAATTTATTACATGTCATCCAACTTAGAAATTTGATGATAAAATTTAACAGAAACTAATGAAAGGTAAATTTATCATGGATGTACCAGTTTGGGGTTTTTGGTAGTTAAAAAATTTATTTGTAGTATATTTGTCACAAATGTACCAGTTTAGGTTTTTCGGGGTATTAACCCTTTCGTTTACAATATTTTTTTTGACACTTCTCAAATTTTTTAGACATGTGTCATTACGAAAAAGTGTCGATTTTTGTGGACCGGGAGAGTTGAATTGTTCGATTAATGTTTTTATTTTTTATTTTTGAGTAAGGTTAAATCAATTTATCGTAGCATTTCATGGGAAAATTGTCTAAAAAAACCTAAACATGTCGTGCGAATGCCAATTTAGTCTTAAGCTTTACAATTTAGCCAATGCAGTCTTAAACATTTTGATGGAATGTTGCCTTCGGACAATTCTTTGCAAAGTGACCTTTTTTGTTGCAGTCAGTCTTTATTGTCGCTTGATAGAGTTTTCTTTGTTGTCTCATATTTTACCGCCAAGATTTCCTTGAAGGTTGAGTGATAATGCATTTCACTTAGCGTAAATTTTCCACTTTTGTGTCCACAGATCTTACGCTTGCCATCAATTTCTTCAAATAAAGCAGCAGTCCAATATTTTCTGGCCATTTAGTATATGGAATATCATCAAGAGTGAAATAGTATTTGGAGGTCGAAGACTCAGAACAAGAGTTTTCTTTGGTGGGATTGATATCTTCATTTTTCTTGAAAGGTAAATGGATATGAATTTTTCCTAATCCATTTTTTGGATGGGTTTATAGAAGAGTATTCACATCTTAGAACTGCTTTATAGTAGCAGAATTCTGATGCACAGGTTCCATACTGTGGCAAGTGCAGAGCATGCTACCAGGACTAATCAGCGCAAGTATATTTGTTTAGAGAATCATATCAGGCAGAAAGGTAGAAGTGAAGATTCAGGGTTTCATAATACACACAAGTTTTATTTCTTGAGGAGCGGATTCTGTCCGCTAATATTACAAGTGTGGCATTTTATAGGCACGAATACAGACCTAGAGGAGTTTAATTTTCCTATGTAACTTTTCCATTTCAGTAGTTTTGTCTTCCAAATAATAATGGGAAATATATTTACCTGATTCCATCTGCTGCAATTTTTTCTAGAACGTCTCAAGCAATTTGTTTGTGATCAAACGGCCCTCGGACTTTCCGCCTTTGGAAAGGACCTCTCTTGAGAGAAAAGAAGTTTAAGCATTTGGGTGACATGTTTAAATGACAAGCGACACATAAAGACTTTTACAACTAATAGACGACTGAAACACTTTTAGACGATGGGACCTTCTTTTGGGGCTTCTGCAATGATTGAGGCAACTGAACTGCACATGCTGCAAGAAGGGTTTGGATGATAGGATCTAAATTTGGAAACAGTGTAACAAACACTGTTTTGGCATTTAGAGTGCTTTGGATTGTACCAATGCAGGCATGTCGGTAATCCAAGAAATAGGAATAAATTTTCCTTCCTGGATGAGTTTAATTTGCTTACGTAACTTTTCCATTTCAGTAGTCTGGTCTGCCAAATAATGATGGAGAATACATTTACCCGATTCCATTTGCTGCAATTTTTGTCTGTCAAAAACACTTTTAGACTACAGTTTTTCTTCGTTTCTGCATGTTTTTCTTCTTGCTGCAGTGTTGCTACAATGCCGAACAGTGTATTAACAGTACATGAATAGTGCCAAACAGTGCATGAACAGTGATTTCCCGAAAATTGGGCTGGTTTTTCAAACACAATGAGCTGATTTTTTCAACACGCTTGGCAAGGCTTCAAAGATCATATTTATGGATAGGTTCCTCAGTGTTGTCATCATCAGAGCTGTTCGAACTACCTCTGTCCTTTTGTCTCATGTAATTCCTCAGGGAATTCATCTTCAAAATTGAGGGAGATAGGATGAATGAAAGGATATTCTGGATACAGCCCGTTGAGTTTGAGACTTAATCCTCCGAACTTGCTGAAAATTAACGGTTGATATTTTCACATTAATGATGGCAGATTTTCATAGCTATGTGCAAAATCTTCTGGCCTATTTTGGCCAACGCTTAAATTTACATTGATGATATCCTTCTCTACAACGCAGATGAGGATTCTCATTGCAAATTATTAAGCCAATTTGCTGAATTGGTCCAAAAATATGGCATCATGCTGGAATTTCTCTTTCAAACAGGTACAATAATTTCTTGGGATAGTAAATTTTTTCGGAAATTTCGTTCCCAGCTTTGAGGTCAAATTTGGAATAGACCTTAGCTTGAGTAAGGCTGGAGAATTTAGGCTACAAAGTTAGCGACTGCCGTCCTATGTCGCCCAACCGGTGACTAATGTGATGGCCCAGAATGTCACGTGCAACACGTGCATATTTTATTTATTTTTTTATTTTTTATGCAAGCGGAAAACATAATGAAATATTCACATCATTCCATACAAGAAATCCAACAAGTTTAAAATTAATATACATATGTACCTTTATATTAACATTTGTAACTATTATTTGATACGGACATCCAAACAAAACATAATACATTACATAAATTCTAGGAAGATGGTTTGGCTAACTACCACTACTATACTCATACTAACCCAAAAGCGAGCATGTACATATCCAAACCACCATCCAACGCGGGGTTGATGGCCTCTGGCACCATCACGTCCCCTCCATCGTCATGCTCAAGGGGACCATCAAATCCTCTCAAAGGTCCAACCGTCTCGCCATTTACATCTACATCTACATCTACATATCATGCAACGGTTGTGTAGGCATACTTTATGCATCTTGACACATGTTGTAAATGTCACAAGCATTCATTCACAATAAATTATGAAGAGGTGGACAAAAACTGCAAAACAAGGGACTATGTTGGACAAAGCTCTCCTGATGAGGTAAAGCCAAAACGTTGCGCTTGAAGAGGTTGATTCGATTGGCTTTCAGTGTTATGAATGTTAGTGCAAATCATGATATTACGGAGGAGCTTGCAACTACAACCTTGCTGCGTCTTCGCTCCCGTATCACAAACAAAATGCAATCTTTGACTAGTAATGATTATATTAATTTCTTGGAGAAAAGTGATGAATCTGAAGATGCAGAAAATTGTGAAAATTCAAATACTTGATCCCCTTCGGAGAAGGCCAACAGGTGTACCAATTACTCGGTTGAAGGGCACTAGTGATAGCGAAAGAGAAAAGCCTCTTCATGCACAAGAGGCACCTCACACAAGTTATGATGCTTGTAATGTTAAATTGGTGGATTGTGCGCCCGCATGGTCACCCCATATGTTAGTAACTAGGTAATAAAATGGATCCAAACTGCCTGCTTAAATATTGTTTTTTGAAAAGAAAAGGTACCGAAAGGGCTTTAGATTAAATATAGCGTAACCAAGTCCCCGAACTCAAAATCTCTAGTTCGTAGAAATAAAACATATTTCCCTATGTTTTATTTGGGTTTCTAATTGACCCACCGCAAATAGATTAGTGGCGACTCTAGCATGAAAATATTTGCATGTTAAGAACTTAAACCCTAAGTTGCGAATTGATAGGGCTTGGGAGGGCCTGAATTAGGTTTTGACTTAATAATCCATTAGCCGAACCCCTAAGTGGTGCACCGCGGGAGGTGAGGTCATGACAAATACATAATTGGAAGTTTCAGCAAGCCTTCTGCAACATAATTGGAAGTTTGCAGCACTTGAACAAAGTTGTAGAGGTACAGATCAACATAATTTGAAACTGTTGTGAAGTGAGGGCAAGCACTTTTGCATTTCGATACACTTCATCGCCAAATAATTACCCTTAATTGAGGATGATACCCAAATTTAGATAACCCGCAAGGAGCTCGAATGCATCGTGGACAACACAGCTCGTCCTGAAATCCCAATCAATCCCCAAAATGGGGACTACACGTAAGAAAAATTGTGGCACGCGTGATATTATTAACGGTTTAATATTTATTTAAATGCTAAAAACATATAAGCTATGGAAGTTGCAATTTTTACAAAGATATCATATGACAAATTGCAACTTTTATGAAGATAGAATATAAGAATTTGCCACTTTTATGAAAATAGAATATTTTATGTGTTTTGATGGGAGGCATTTATTGAAGGCATCTATTGATAACTTATAAAAGAAGTATGGTCCTCTCTTCACCTACATTGTATTCCATCATCCATCTAATAAGAAATCGGATTTCATCGTTTCTCCTATTTCTGCAACAATCAAAAGCTCGGGGTTATTGCTTTATCAAAAATATTACTTTCTCAAGTTTATTGCTATGGACTAAGGTATTGC